TAGTTGACATAAACATTATAGGAACATGCGACCATATGAAAGAATAAGAACTATTCGGAGAATAGGTAAAAGTAATAGGCAGCAAATGCAGAGTTATACATTGCGACTAAGACTGGAGCCTCAGCTTAACTGGGTCCAATGCCGATTAGTGCTCTCCAGTTCATTCCCGTCGACAGATGATTGTTTACGGCACCATTAGGGTAAGCCAAAAACCGTGTGAGAAAAAGGCAAAGCAAGGGCCTTGGTAACGGAGTAAGTAACACGTGTGCTCCAGGAGAGAGTAGTGATCGTACGCTCGCATCTGGCCTAGAGTCTCCATTTTACAAAACACTCAGCATCATTGCATTCGGGGAATAGCTGTTGCTACACCTACGCTCGCCCAAAAAACGCTATCGCTTTTTTTCAGTGTCTCGTATACCACTCCCCTCATCTATTTGCTCCCGATTTCCCTCATTATATGACCGGCTCCTGGATCTCGATGACAAGACTGTTCTGAGCAAGAGAATCTAGCTTAATATTCTATGTACAGGCTATGATTCAGAGCTATTCTTGCAGCTCTCTAAGTGCTCCCGAACAACGTCCACGTGTCAACCTGCATCTCAGTTGCAAATCGAACCATCAATTGATTTGCAACTTGTTACACGTATGAAATACCCTCCACAACTATTATTGACGATTTGTTTACCATCGAACCACAAGGTTTGCATAAGCTAGCCTTTCTTCCGATTCATTACTGTCCTATTCTGCAACAGAAATGGACATGAATGATTAGAAGATCCCGCAAATCCTGTTCTATGAACGTTCTATGTGAGTGTTTTGGACGGTTCATACACCCCATTCAGGTTTACTGGAATACAATGACATAAGCAAAAGGAGTTAGTTAAACCTTGTACAGAGTACAGGTTTGTTATAAATAACACTGCTATGGATTGAAGAAAAGCTCCGAAGCTTAAAATACAGACGATGGCAATGCATTAAAACAATTAAAGACTAAAACATAAAACGGTTGTCTTCTTCTTTATCGCCCTTGTGTCAGCTTCACTAGACCACAGCACCTGACGGCGTAGTTTCACTTTCTGCAAATTTCTTGCTATAGAATATTTCATCATCAAAACGCACAAGAGGTTAATATTACGTCTTCTTTTCGATGAATCCCATCCGGAACTGATTCGTTTGAAAGAAGGATGCTCTGGCGTAACTACGAACAACATCATCCACCACTACAATAGCTATGATAAATCTCAACAGATGGGCGCAAATAGAAAAACAAGCACAAAGCAGCATACATCCGATTTTCGAATGCACTCGTATAAGATTCTGGTAAAGCAACAGATAAAAATAACACCTATCAACGCGGCCAGGAAGTATCCAACAACTTCTGACCAGAAACCTTCCTGAAATTCATCGTCGCTGCAGACAAAGGCATGGATACCACAACTATATTTTATTTGTACAGAATACATGAAAAAATAAATTATGGTTGCAAAAAAAATGAAACCCATCAGTTATTGGTTTCTTTCCAACACGATAAAAGCGGTGGAACATAAACATTGTTAATGTGACTTGTGTAGTAAATTCAGACTTTTTTGGTGGAGCGTCTGGGTACAAAAGGAGCGGTGCTGAACCTCGTTTACCACGAATGCGTAACAGAGGCGCTGCACGGGACTACACCACTGTCGCTTCAGTGTAATGGAATACCGGATGGCATTTCGAGAACGTTCTGAGTGCCACCGCACTGGTTATCGCACGGCACTGGTTTTCACTAATAACGTCGAATTACAGAACAGCTAATTGTTTACTAGATCGGTTATGCTTAAAGTGATGAGATATTAATGTAATGCTTTCAGCAACACGAAGGCAAGATATAAAAGCTCTAAAGGATAAAGCCCTCGGCATTGATCAATCCCTGAGGGATGCGCCATACATTCGACTTCATTAAGTATCGTTGGAGGTGATTGAATGCATATCTGGCCTTTACAATGACTCGCGGTGGCCTACTAATGTATCGATCCAGTGCTGCTATTCTCCCAGACAAGTCTGGTACCAATTTTCCGACTCCGGAGGGATAGAAAGCTCGGTGAGCCATGGACGCGGAGATCGATTACACGTGTGTGTCGCAGTGGCGCCTCCAACCACTGCACCACACGCGCCCCTTAAACTAGATATATTAGTATAGACGGGTGATTGCTGTGGCAAAAAGATCGATAGAAATAGCTGAGAGACGTGCGAAACAAAGGACCCGCATGGTGTGGTGGTGAACGCGTTACTCTCCGGAAAGGATAATAGCGCATTCGTTCCCCACCATAGACACCTGCGGTCCAGAGTTTTGCAAATATCTCAGCAACGTTGTGGTTATATTAGTATATATACTCGTTAATTTCATATGGGGAGTGTGTAGTGCAGTAGTTAGAGGTGCGCTGAAGTAAGTAATGGATCGGTCACCGGAATGATCCGACTTGGGATCACCAAGTCTGCGGGATCGACAAATTGATATGAGACATGACCAGAAGAATAAAAAGCATGGCGTACCTTTCAGGGACTATTTAATGCCGAACATTTTAACGCCTCTTATTAAAAAAGGATATAAAGGAAACACATTTCATCGCATTGAAAATCCCATCTAGGTGTTCTACTAGGCCGTCACTTTAGTATAGTATTTATAAGTCCTGGTTACACAACGAACTTGGCTTTGACTTCATAACAACTCATAGTTCATTACTGATCCTGCAGATAGAAACTCAATTATGGAGTGGTGGTCTATGAACGAAGCTCGTACCAGTGCTAGTGTATTGGAAGCGCCATCTTAGTGCTTTCGCAGCTAATGAATAACGTGTTCAAAATGGAGCTGTAGACTGCGTTCTATTGACTCAATAAGTATTAGAGGGATTAAAAAAATAAAGCTCTAGACGTTGATCAATCCCTGAGAGATGCAGCATGCATTTTACTTCGTTAAGTACCGTTTGGAGGTGATTGGATGCATATCTGGTCTTTACAATGACTCGCGGTGGCCTACCGATGTAACAAGCCAGTATTGCTGCCCTCCCAGACAAGTCTGACACGAATTTTCCGACCCCAGAGGAAATGGAAGGCTTGGTGGGCCAGAGGCGTGGGGATCGATCCCATGTGTGTGTGTGTGTGTTGCAAAGCGTCTCCGAGCACTGCGCCACCCGCACCCCAACTGTGCAATAACTATTGGCAGACTAAAATCATGGACTATTCAGATGTACTACGGCACTGAAAAATTAATGTAGATTCACCGCACAACGTTGTCTGCGTACACAAAACCACTAATGAAATAAATTTTTACTCTACCATTCCAGTTATTCAAAATTAGAAGGGTCCCACTAGGTGCAGTTACGTGAATCCCTTAAGGCGAACTGTTCTCAAGTATTGTTTTCCAGCTTTTCGACAAGTGGAATTTGGAATTAGGGCAATCATAGATTTTTGAGAACAGACTCGCAAAAGTCCTAGTCAAACACACAAGTCTGAAAGAGCTATACTGTTTTTAATCTTCAAGAACATAGTTTAGTAACATGAAACTTACGAGAAAGGAGAAATGGTGCATATTTGCAGTCGAAAATAGGTGAACTATCTGAAAATATACAATTAATGTGCACCATACAAATATGTAGCATTTGCAGAGTTGGTGTATCACAGAGAACGTCCAGTATAACTGCCCAAGTGATGGGTGTGCGACACCAAATACCTATTGTGAAACTAGCAGTAGATGAACTTCAATGTTCTATAGATTGTTCCTTGTGGTGCCAAACTCGAATAACGTTTCTTCCTTCTCAAAAACAAGACAAAAGTTGATCTCAAACCTAAGAATTTTCATGCTATTTATGGACGACGCCAAGCACACCACATACCGAGTTTATAACGATAATCCTGAACGAGACTCACATGTTTAACGCATAATGGAACCCCGTCAGAAGATAATTTCCGTCTTCACAAGGAAAATGCATTACATACAAAACACTAGCAGCGTGGCTTTTTTTCAAAGCACAAACCTCTCGCACGTTTAGTAGAGAGTGGCATAGATTTCTATGCTATTTCTCAGCCGACATTTTGCATTTTAACAAGTTAAGAAGAATAAAATCAAACAAGACTTCAATAGACGAATTCCAGTAAGTCAGAACTTGACACATACCAAACAATAAGGATTATAAAGTAAAACATAAGCATACCTATGAGAATAAATGAGAAAATAAGAAAATTTTGAACAAATTTCAACGATCTAAAATGGATTAAAGGAACGGACGCCCAACTGCCATGCAAGCCTCCTCGTCAAATCTCAGATTAATTTTCTAGTCTGAGCGAGTTCCAATTACAATCGTATGTGAGCAGCATAAGGATGGTTTCATCATTTAGGAAACAAAAACAAGTGCTTTTTACAGATTACGACTTGGTTTGTGCACCGATATTTCAATAAGTCTGTAGAATGCTCAACGAATAGGAGTACATAGAAATACTTTCAGGATGTGAAGAAGGCGAAGTCGCTAAAACGTTAAAAGCTCTCGGCGTTGATCAACCTCTAAGAGGTTCGCCATATATTCGACTTTAATAATCACCGTTAAAGGTGACTGAATACATATCTGGTCTATACAATGACTACGGTAGCTTATTGAAGTACTGAGTCAACGCTGCTATTCTCCCAAGCAAGTCTTTTAGCAATTTGCTGACCCCGGATGTATGGAAGGCTTGGCAAACCTGGGCCGCGGGATCCATCCCCATTTGTATTGCAGAGCCTCTAACCACTGCACTGTATGGGACCTTAAAGTTAGCCACAGAAAGTCGAAAAACTGGATTAACAACCTAATGTCAGAAACAGAGTTCTTACGATCAGAACAGCGTAGTTATTAATGATGACGACAGATGGAATTTGGCATTTCTGAGGAATTCATCTCATCAACGATTTGCCGAAGAAGAATCTATCCACAATGGATCGCGAATGTCTTTCAGAATGTTTAGGCATCGTAATCCGCTACGACCTACTTGCATTAAATCATTCCAAGTTTCGATTCGAATTTGAGAAGCGAGAAGCACGCCTTTACACGCTCAGACTGGGAGATTTCGGCCAATTCACAAACAAACAGTTCGCGACGTTTCGTGACGTTCGTCAAACTCTCCAAGAGAGTCTGCTTAATAATGTTATAATTAAAAACTTCATTGTGAGTAAACCTATGATGAATTCTGTGGAGCATTTGGAAAATTTGTCAGCAAATTATTCCAGTGATAAGAACCGCACTGCCGAAGATTTATAAACGTTCCAATCATTCAGCAATAACGCTTTCTTCAACATACGAGCGTTTTTAAGACCAATCGAATTTCAATTTTCTTTCTCACGGAAACACGTAGCTAAACTGAGTAGAACCGAAGAAATTTATATGAAATGCTGAGATATTTGCAAAACTTCGGACCACAGGTGTATGCAGTGGGGAACGAACACGCGCTGTTGTCCTTACCGGGGAGGAACGCATTCACCACCACACCGTGCAGGTCCTTCGTTTCGCCTATCTGATCAACAGGTGCTGATCATGTTTGTCATGGTGAGAAAAACGCCCAAGGCCGTCGTGGTGTTTTTCAAACTTTGGAACATACGATTATAGCTATAAAACACTCACCAGAAAAGCGAAAGGGACTGCATCAAAAACCACAAATTGCCGTGAGTATGTAGGTGACATGAATGGATTCTCCTTTTCTTTCAGTGTATACAACTCGCATAGGTCGATCAAATATTCACGTTCTCCTACATGGACAACAAGGAATAGAAAGCCAAGAGAATAAGACGAAAAGAACAGTATGGTTCTTAAGTTCGTTATTGGTGTTCATTTACTACTTGCTCTCAAGTAAGAAGATTTCTTCACATAAAACAGAATCGGTAAAACCTTTCATTCCGTGATCTGGCTACCCAGGCATTTTCACTAGGCTTCCACGATGCATGCGATTAAAAATTATGAAACCGTACTAACTTTTAGCTTTGCGACGTATTATGGATAGCTGTGGTTTGTGAATTAAATGATATAGTGTTGATGAATGTTTACAATGGTTTTTATTTCCACATTTATGGCAACCGTTCGCAGCTATGAGCAGCGAGTGCAAATCATACATATCGATTGCACGATTGCTCACGTAGTCTTGAACCCACGGTAAAGGGATACGAGGTAAAGCGCTTGCTGTTGACAAATCCCTGAAAAGTGGGCCATGCATTTGATTCTACTAAGCACGGTAAAGGTGACTGAATAGATATTTGGTCTAGAGGCTCTACCAATGAGCCAGTTAAGCGTTCTGATCCTTCCAGGCACGCAGGCTGACGACCCCGGAGGTTTCGATGGTTTGTTTGATGTATTCGCGCGATTTCTTACTAAAATTACGAGATATATCGTTCGTTCTCAATAATTATCCATTAAATTTAGTTGGCTAGTTCCCAACAGTTGAAATTTGTAGCGACAGAAAAGCACCCGTTCACTCCATGGTGATGTGAAAAGATGACGGGATTAATATAGCCAAACGTCCAAATCGTCTTCGAAAATGTTATTTCAGGAAGAAGCTATCCCTAGCATGCGAATGAACATGTGTGGAAATGATGGAATGGATACAATTGATAAAACAAGATGATGAAAAAGCTCCGAATTTTCAAGATGAGTGGATATCACAAAAGCAACATACCATAAAGATGTACGAATATTACAACTAATGCAGCCACTATCAGATATATTACAGAGGAACTAAGATCACTAGCGAGTATGCCGTATTTCTCATTCACAGTCTAAACACACTTCCATTAGCTGAATAACTGAATCTTGAACGTATTTCCTTGAGCAGAGGTCTAGAAACATTGCAAATTAGCGGATTAGTGGAAACTATGAACACAAAATATGATGGAGCACTTATACGCACCTAAGTTACTCGTATTCGTGTTTTGACAAAAGTTCCAAATCAACGATAGTTTTAGAAGAAGAACTAATTTTAAAAAAATAAATGACTGCAATCCCAGGACGGCCATGATGCAGTATTTATTCTGTACTTACTGGTAAGGATCGGAAAACGCTCAACGTGAAGCAAACCGCTGAAAATACGGCAACAGCAACAACATTCCACATCCGATGATGACTACGAACATGATCACGTACGAAGGCATAAACCATGATGAGAGGACCTGAATAGATACTGTTTTAACGCTGTGTAAAAAAGATAGGAAAAACAATGATAGATGGAGCACGCGATGAAAAGCGGCTAATGAGAAACTTGGTCCAAAATTTCCCTGCTATTTGGTCGCTAATTTATGAGGAACTCTATAATGCGAAGGCAAATTACAGAGATCACCTTAAACGTGCACCTTAGACGCTCAGTGAACGTGGAGAGCAGCATGAAGGAGGAATCGCACAGAGGAAGAAGAGCAACATACACCGCATTCGGGTCTCTCAAAGAAACCACCGTCATCATTAACAGACCCAAAAATCCGCGCTCACCTTCGCGATTCAACAACCCTTCCAGTGCTCTGTTATGCGGCAGGGACGTGGGCTGATACTTCAATGACGTCAGGAATACTGCCCATTGCTCAATACTGCTCAATAATATATAGAGCGCAAATGATGTCTCCCGAAATTTAACCGATACTCACAACGTCCAGCCGGAAAGCGTAGCTCAGATCTTTAAAATCTATCCCACCTACGGGATCCAGGAGAATATACATCGGTGGCGAAACACAGATAAATTGGTCAAATAATAAAAAAAACGACAGATGGACGAAAAAAAACCGTGAAGGGAACTCCAAACGATAGCTGGACGTGTTCATGCAGATGGAAACCCTTTTAGAGATTCGGAATAGTCCTTGTCGACGTCATTATGCTCGCAGCACACCATCACCACATACGAGGATTGTGCGAGAGAAGAACGAATGGAAATTATGCTGAAGCCGGCAGCACCAGAGTAGACGGTTCAACCACGTACCCAAGTATTTGGTCGTTATACATCGGCCATCTTAAATACCACTGTCATCTCAATGATCGTGGTATTCTCGAGCAACTCGAGCAGGCGCCAGTAAACCTTCCACTTCTCCCTGTCGGGTTAAAGTGTAGCATAGTGAGTCCTGCTTGCTCTAGAGACTCGTTGAGCATCACATCCTTCATTAAGGCTTTTCGAGAAAAGCTCTAACTATCGGTCGGTGGTGCTCCTGCAGTAGGTTTGACATCCCGAGGAATCCAGTCACTTACGGCTCTTCTCCATCGGTTGTCGTTCATAAGCACGATTTCTTCAGCCCACCTAATCCTCGACACTTACACAGATCGGAGTTTCGAATTCACTACCTCATTTGCGTGATACGGGATATTCCAAGGATTGTCCTTTTGACTGCGCGTTCCATAACGCTGAGTGGTCTTCCATCCCACTTAGGTAGCGATCAAGTTTCTGACCTATATGGGGAAAAAAATTGTATAGTCGGAAAGGTGGTTACGGAGTCGGGTGCTCTTTGCTCTTTGTTCTCTTCACTACATCCTCGATGCACTCAAAACGTCTTAAGCGACTCGTTTGCTCAACTCTAGAGCTAAGTCGTTCATCATGTTGATTTCCAGACCTAGACAGAAGCGGAGAGCGCTCAGAGATATTTGTACTGCTGAGCGTGAATGGGGCATACGAAACCAATCAGCTCCACATGAACATCGTTTTTGTTATACTTAGTCGAATACCATTCTTTCCACAAGCGCCATCAAAGTAAGCAAGCATTCGTTCCGCTTGGCTAATGTTTGGTGTTATAAGGACGATGTCATCAGAAAAGCGAATATGATGTAACTGCCGACCGTCGGTTTTCGTTACCAAGTAGTCCCTTTCCAATGCAGTCACGATGTAGAAGAGCGTGACAATAAATAATTTTGATGAGATGGTAACACCTCCTTAAATCCTTCTTTTGACGTCGGTGTGAATATCGCTGCAAAAGTGATATTATGGTTGCGAAATTTTTATAAAGCTCACGAATAGTTTACACACTGAGTAGGAATGGTCCGGTTTTCCAGGACTTCCATAACTGCTTCTATGTCAGGTAAACCAAAAGCCCTCCTTAAATCGATGAATGAGAAAGAGGGAGAGAGAGACAGACGGACAGACAGACAGAGAGAGCGGTCTGCTGTATTCTCGCGACACTTAAATGGATAATGTTATCATCTGTATGTGGTTCATAGTACTGAATCCTTTTCGAAATTCTGGTTGCTCACATGGCTGTTCTCCGCTTTTGATGACTTCAGTGAAGGTCTTATAGACGACAAAGCAAACAGATTGAGCGATTGTTGTCCATAACGTGGAGGTCACCATTCTTGAACAATAACACGGCCTTACCGGTCTTTCGTTGAATAGAAATTTTATATTCTGACTGGTAACGTGTGAAGAACGCAACCAGTGTGTTGAAGAGAACTGAGGCGAAGACCTTCACACGTCCGGATCTTCCTCCGTACCAGGAGCTGCTCGATTATTAACCAATGAAATAACATGCTGGATTTCGGAAGGTACGACATATCCATCCTTCTTTATTTTGAATGAGGACAGAATGTATCTATTGAAGAGATCTAAATGGTAATCGTGAATAATTTTCTCCACTACCTTTTCGGATGCTGCAACTGATCCGTCTGGATGTCGGAGTGGAACAATTTTGGTTTTGTCATTGTCGAAGCTTGAACGGCCACTGGAAATGCCTTTCCGAGCATCTACAGCTTCGACATCTACCATTGAATGCTTTTCTCCCTTGAAGATCTTGTTTTATCGCCTATCTGCATTGTTTCGCAAGTTCGGGCATGACTTGGCGGTTGCCCATTGCTAGTGCGGTTTCACGTTGGCGTATCAGCTACAATGTTTCTGGAGACAGACGGTGGTTACTTTCGAACTCTCTACTTTTATAGCGATAACGTGACGATGTTAAATGGAACGATCGTACTCCTCGTCAATGTTGTCAAGAACGCAGTCTACCCAACAGCCACCTAATGAACTGAATATATACCAGTTTATTGTGGTCTTCCGACTTTGTTTTTTGAATTAAGCGACTTTTTCTTCATTCCGCGAAAAATAAAATCCTGCAAGGTGTCTGTGGTAATATGGTTTGAAAAATTTCCAAACATTGATCTACCCAAAAAAGGCCATCCGTCAACTATCACAGACGATGTAATGTCAGTGCGATGTGTGGGTTACAATCTTTTCCCCATGGAGCGAACGCTATTGTTGCACCTTTAGCTGCATTCCGATGTCAGGACTTGCTATTCGATTTTTTGCGATCAAAACGTGAAAGAGAACCAATCTTGGAATCTGCTGAAGAACATCACACTATTGTCAACGTGTTAAAGTCTTTAGCAAACTTACCACAAAACGATTTTATGTTTACCAGTATAATTGTGATGTTATACAACCAATGCCACAAACTGGACCGCCTTTGAGCCACAAACAATTCGGTTATGGTGCCCAGTATGAAATCGAGTGCTAAAAATTGATTGCTGCCTCGAAAAGATACCATTTCCAGCAAACTTGATTTCTGCACTAGATTGACAAAACGGAGCCTGTTTAAATTTCTATATGTAGAGCAATGCAACCACAAACCCCCCTCACATGAGGGATCGCGATAGCCGGTTAGTCGCGAGGCTACGTAGAGTGTCCCCAGGTTGCGGATAGGGGGTTAATCGCGACCAAAAGCGACCTTTACTTCCCTAGGACGAAGGTGGATCCAGGAGATGGACTCCCTGTTTCTGCTGCGCCGATTTGGCACATACTTTCTGTATTTGCTAGGCGTATTCATGCAAGCGTGTGTGGGTGCGTTCTGTTTTATGCAAATTGTATTCTATGATCAGTTCGGCCAAAAGCCTGCAATCAAATTACAGGGAATGAGAGGGAAGTATGTAGGAGGCGGTTAGCAGTCGCCTACAACAAATAAGCTCCATGTCCACTCTGGTAGAGCCTGGCAAACTACCCTTGAGTACACCCAGCTTCCACGTTCAGAGCACGTAAAGCTATACGTGGGTAGCGAAAGGCTAAAAACAGTAAAAGAAACAAGCCTCACATTCCACTGACCCCGAAAGAGCCCCAATTCGGCAGCGTTGGGCAGGACGAGTACGGAGAGCCACCTAAAATCTCAGGGCCAATGGAAGCTGCCTGGATCACGAAGAACTAAGGATCTGTACCTACAATGCACGTACACTTGCATCCGAGTCCTCGATAGAAGACCTGGCCATGAAAGCAAGAAGGATAAGGTACGACGTCATCGGTCAGGCCGAGACGAGAAGATGAAACCCTTTCAACGCCGTCAATGACACCGCAGAAGAAATGTTCCTAGGAAGATGCTGAACAGCTAACAACCCGAATCGGATGACTACGATTATAAAAATGTGGATCAATACTGGCTTTGACAATCTTCGTCGTTTATACGCCGACATAAAACTACGGCGAAGAAGAAGTCGAAGCGTTCTAGATGGACTTGGAGAGGTTCCACAGAGAAGACCACATATTCTCCAAGGTTATCATTGGAGATTTTAACGCCAAGATTGGACCAAGAAGAACGTCTGAAGAACGTCACATTGGGACCCACGGGTTGGAAAGGAACGAACAGGATGAGCGGCTGTCTGAGTTTATCATGGCGACCAAGACCATCAATGGTAACTCGCAATTCCAAAAGCCCCACACTCAACACTGGACGTGGGAATCTCCTAATGGAGAGTACCGTAACGAAATAGACCAAATCATAGCAAATAGACGGTTTTGGTTTTTTGCCTAACCGATGTCGCTGTTGTCTCAAAGTCTGCACGGGATCCAACCATCGCCTCCTCCGTGCAAGATTGTATTTCTCACGGAAAGGAGAAAAAGCCGCTAAATTCAAAAACCGTGGTTCCAGAACCACCGCAAACTGGGACTTATTCAATTCATTGGTTGGCTGTTGGGAAGATGCCGTTGTCGGCAACATCGACGAAGAATACGACCGGCTCATTCGACATCTTCACGTTAGCGCTATGAAAGCTGAGAGTTCGAAAGTCACCAACAGGCGTTCATCTCCAGAAACACTCGAGCTGATACGCCAAGTGGAATCGCACGAGCTGCAGGCAACCGCGAACTAAAGTCCGAAGTTGCAAAACAATGCAGACAAGCGATAAAAAAATTTCTTAAGAGAGAAGAGCAGCTGCAATGATTGAAGGTGCAGAGGTTGGGAAAAACATTCGCAAAGCCTACAGAAGCTTCACCAATTACAAGATCAAGATGACTGCACTCCGAAACCCAGATGGAACACTTACATTGTCCAGAAAGGCAATGGAGAAAATCATCCACGAATACTGCTCAGATCTCTTCGATAGCCACGTCCACCTTCCGTCATGTGAAATAAAGGAGGATGGATAAGTTGTACCACCTGTCCTCCCTTTCGAAATCCGGCTTGCCATTTCGTCGGTGAAAAATCGAAGAGCACCAAGTCCGGACAGGATAAGACCAGAACACCTGAAGAACCTTCCGCCAGTCCTCGTAAACACACTGGCTCGGCTCTTCACACGTTACCTGTCTGAATGCAAGGTCCTTAGTGGAAGACTAGCAAGACAATGCTATCGTTCAAGAAGGGCGACCTACACGACATCGGCAACTACCGTCCTATCTGCTTATTTTCTGTCGTCTACAAACTTTCACTCGAGTCATCCTAAACAGGAATGACAGAACACTGGACGAAGGACAGCCATATGAGCAAGC